TTCTTCCTTTATCCTCTGCTCACTAGTAACAGGTGTTGGGGCTGAGCCCCTCTGCCTGGAGTTGGACCTCCCAGGACCTTCAGGTCTTAGACAGAGAAACCATGAGAGGTTGTGGGTATATGAGAATGAGTCTTTATTGCTGAAGCCAGTGGCCATATCGCCATCAGACAAGAACAGTCCTCACAGCAAAGTCCATACAGGCAGGCAGCCAGATACCAGCTGGTAAACATATCTCTTTCCCATAAAGCAGCATCAGTCTCTGTACCCACAGTTATTATCTGAGCAGCCGCATGCTGCCTCCTAGACTCATTGCCTCACATCATAGCAGTATCAAAGCTCTCCAGCTCAGCAGCTTCTGTCTCTTCTGCCCAGCTGCTCTCTCTAGCAGACTTCTTCCCACACTCCATCCTAGCTGCTCTCTCTCCATACTCCAGGAGACTTCTTCTCATTCCCACCTCAGCCGACACCACTGGTCAGTAACCTACTGTTATACCATTTAGAAAAAGAAGGCTTTGTGCCAATAGCTACATCAATCATATTGGCTACTGAAGGGCACGGTGTACCATGTGTCTTTGCACCTGCTCATGGTATCTTGGCCTGATCAGGATTCCCAGGTTCAGAGTCCTTGAACACCCCATTTAGGCACATACCCAGAGCAGCCTTTGGCCATTCTGGTATTGATAACAAGGCCTCTGTGCTCCCACCAGCCTTGACCATCTGGGGACCTGGCATGGTTCCCACAATGTTATAACCAACAAATGTCAATTTTAATACAATCAACTTCAGTACAGATCAGGAGCAAGGCTTTAGTTTTTAAAGTCATTCAGGGATGCAGACTTCTGTCAAGTGCTATGGGCTCCCCTAAGGTCTTAGAATGCTTGCTTCCAAATCCTATGTATGCATGCCGAGGAGTTGGAATAACTGCAAGATTATAAAGTTTTCATGAGATAGGACAAGAAGTAGCAAACAACAATTCTAACTATATGCCACTGGTTAACACAGTCAAAAGGATGGAAAATGCAGTCTATTCGTAAGTCTGGGAGGAAAAGTAAAGGGGTATGTGGAACAGACAGCATCATCTCTGCCATAACTGCTGCATGTCAAATTGTTTTTCCTCCTTTACTTCTTAAGTAATTTTCAAATCTGTTACCACCTCTATCTTCAACCCAATGAAACTCATTCTCATGGGCCAGACCTCAGCGTTTCTCAGAAGAACCCCACAGCATCCTCTAGACTGCAGTCTTTGCCTTCTTGTTTAACTCCACTGATGTGTCATCTGCACAGCTATAGTATTATTCAAAGTAAAATAAACATTTTATCTATAAAACTTCCCTGCACAAATCCCTTCAGTGACTTCCCATCGTGTACAGGATAGATACACCATACAATGCAAAAACAAGGTCCTCCTGGCTCGAAATCTGCCAATTTCCCCAGCCTCAACTCTGGCTACACATTGATTTCCACATTATGCTCGACCAAGATTGAAACAATTCTGGAATCCTTAACACATGCCATTTAGACTTTTTGCTCATTCTTTTTCCTTATCTGGAATATTGTTCACTTCTATTCTCCATAACATTTCAGGATGAATTAGGTGTCTCCATCTAAATTTACATAATCTCTGGCACCTTTATGAATCATCAGTGATTTACATCATTGTATATAACAATCAGTGCTGGTTCCTAAATAATTCATTAAACTATGATATCCTTGAGAATAGGGGCTCTGTCTTACATTTCATTTCTATTTCTCGGTAGGTACACAGCACTTAGCAATTATCTATAAACTAGAAGGCTCGTGCACAAAAATTTGTGCACTGGCAGGGGAGGGGGGTCCCTCAGCCCAACCTGTGCCCTCTCACAGCCTGGGAGGCCCTCCCGAGATAACCACTTGCTGGCTTAGGTCCGCTCTCTGGGTGGCAGATGGCATGCCCAATCCCTCAATGTCTGCCCTGTCTCCCCGATTCACAGATGGCAGGCCCGGATCCTGCGCTGGGGCGAGCAGCCGCTCAGATTGTGCTGCCGCCCGCCCCGCCCACCCCGCCCAAGACACGGCAGGCCCGGATCCTGCGCTGGGGCGAGCAGCCGCTCAGATTGTGCTGCCGCCCGCCCCGCCCACCCCGCCTGCCCCTCCCTGCACATGGCAGGCCAAGATCTCATGCTGGGGTGGCAGAGTGGGATCTGCCTGCAGTATGCAAATTAGTTGCCATCTTTGTTGGCCGTTAATTTGCATAAGGTGCTGATTAGCCAATGGAAGGCGTAGCGAAGGTATGGTCAATTACCCTTTTTGTCTTTTATTAGATAGGATATGTGCCAAATGAGTGAACTGTTCCTAAGTAGTCTTATCTTGAAATTTAGTTTCTTTGCCTGTGTTCCTTGTACACAACTTATGCTTTGTCATTTACTTCCATGGGACTAGTTCTTCATTTTCCCAAGTTCACTGGCTGGAGTTTGACTTTGTATGGCCAGGTAACAAGATAATAATTATTCCTCAAATAAATTTCCCACTTTATTATCCAGCCCATATAAGTGGATACCCTGGCATCATATTAGTATTACACTTGGGCACTATGTTATTATGCCAGAGAAACACTTCTAAGGTTTCTAGATTGGTCCCTTAAACCAAGTCACTGTCTTGTAGCCCATAACCGTCTTGTAGAATAGATTCATGCTTCTAATCGCAGTTATCACTCTGTGATCATTGAAGTAACCAGAATCTCTCACAGCCAAAGCTGTTCCATAATTATAACAACAAGCACTTGAAATATGGACATTTCTGCCATGCAGTGGGATCAAGAGTGTAGCCATGATAATAGTACAAAACAGTACAAAGAAATTCAATTGAAACAACAGTATAATATAATTTCCTATTCTTCTCTGAATTTGAAATCTTTGGTCCCAACTCCAAACTTATTTTAGGAAGCAGACCAAAATTGAGTGGGAAGTACTCTCCACTCAATCCTTCTCTATTAAGTTTTGATCTCATTTCAAAAATGGTAGAACCAAGGCTTTTTTTTAATGAAGTACTACATTAGCTGTACTTTGCCTTATAAAAAGTATATTGATTTTCATTAATTAGGGGCATTGAATTAAGTTAAATTGGAAAAGGAACACAAGTGTAAAACTTAAAATGCCTGGGTGTTTAAATAAATACTCTTTAGATGTTAAGTACATAGAATTCTTGAATTTGAAGTATAAATATCTTTTTTGATAAGTAAAGGAAGAATAGAAAGCATTAAAATGTTTAAATTTAATAATATTTTAAAAAACTATTATTTATTTTTTATTTGCTTTTATGGGGACATTTTTGCAGTTTATTTGAGAGCTATTTTTACTGTACAAAAATAAAAAGCCAAATTTATATATATGTTATAGATATATGATAAATGCTATCTATATACATATATTGTTTCTTACATGTTTTTGAAGACTTAAATATATATTTTTTCAATTTTATTTTTCAATTAGTTTATATTTTTTATTATTTTGTATTATTTTTAGATGTACCACATAGTGCTTAGATAATCATTCACTTTACACAGTATTCCTCCAGATATTTCTAGTACTCACCTGGCACCATACATAGTTATTACAGTACTATTAACTATATTCCCTATGCTGTACTTTATGTCCCCATGACTATTTTGTAATTACCAACTTGTACTTCTTAATTCCTTCAATTTTTTCATCCAATCCTCCAACTTCACTCCCCTCTGGCAACCATCAGTCTTTGTCTGTATCTATGAATCTGTTTCAACTTTGTATGTTTATTTTGTTCTTTGGATTCCACATATAAGTGAACTCATATGGTATTCATCTTTTTCTGACTGACATCTTTCACTTAGCATAATGCCCTTTATGGCCATGTTGTCACAAATGGTAAAATTTTATGCTTTTTATGGCCAAGTAATACTCCATTGTATATATGTACCACCACTTTTTTATCTACTCATCTATTGATAGGCATTTGGGTTGCTGCCATCTTGGCTATTGTAAATAATGCTATGATGAACATAGGGGTGTATATAATCTTTCAAATTGCTGTTTGGATTTCTTTGGATATATACCCAGAAGTGGAATTGCTGAGTCATAAACAGTTCCATTTTTAATGTTTTTGAAGACCTTGCATACTATTTTTCATAGTGGCTGTACCAATTTGCAAATCCTACCAACAGTGCGTAAGGGTTCCCTTTTCTCTGCATCCTTGCCAACACTGTTGCTTGTTGATTTATTTATATCCATCGATATACAAGTGGATAAAAATGCTGTGATGCATATATACATTGGAATATTACTTGGTCATAAAAATGACAATTTTCCATTTGCAACAACATGGATGGACCTACAGGTTATTATGTTAGACAAAAGGACACAATGTGTACTATGGGAAATATATTTACTGGCTAAAGATATACCTCTCTCAAGTCTATTGTCACAATGGAAATCTGAGGTCAGTATTGCTAAATGTACAAATTTCTAAGAAAAGCAGGCAATCAAATATTTACATGACATATCAGTTTTAACAAGTTGGCTTAAAAGAAAAACTGTGAGCAAAAAAACAAAACAAAACACCAAAACACACTGTGTGAATCTGAACAGAGACCACAAGAGTATTTAAACCCTCTGAAGTGGTCTTTGTAGGACTGACAAAGCTGAATCCATACTTTAGGAAGTTAAGTTTTATGCCAGCCTGTTTCAATATTTCAGGCGGAGGCACAAGCATATTCACATCCAGTTACCAAAGAATTGCGTTCAGAAGCCTGGTGACAATGACTTATATATGATAATTTTATAATCTTCCAATATGTTGGCTATATTCAACTCTCCCAGGTGAACTACAATGGCACAGCCTAGCATGTCTTCATTTCAAGTGTTATTATTCCTTCTCTTTTACTTTTACCACTGTTATTGAGTTACAATTTCCTACTACATTTCCCACAATTCTTCACTACATTCATTCCACCCAGCCAGCTCATTTTTCACCCTCCCTAGAATCTGACAAGCCACAGAAATACCTGATTTCAAAGAGATGCTTGCATTCTATACGGATGTCATCTAGGAGTATAAGTGCCCATTGTCACACTGCAGAGTGGAGAAAGGTAAGAGAAATCCTTGTAGGTCTTTATATTCTGATCTTTTAAAATATTTTGAAGAGACAGATATATTTTATTTTTCAACCAATGTCTGAGTTACTCATTTTCATTTCATCTGTGCAAATCAAAATGCAGTAAATTTTTTGAATGATAGATGTGGAGTGTGTACTAAAAATGTGATACCAATAAGATTGCAAGGAATAATTGAAGGAAGTCTTCCATAAGACTGACAATGACTCTGACTCCAGCAGCATGGGTTTGAATATAAATCTTGCACAAATAAATGAACTACAAAGAAAAAATTAAGTTGCTATCCTGCCTGATTGCTATGCCATTATAGCAATGTAAAGACAAATGGATTCATTTAACTTAGGCTAGAGGCTTAATTTTTTCATAATTGTCATCATAAAGCTCATATTAAGTTTTTATTATCAAATCATTTCATGATATGAAATCTTTTCAAATCTTGCAAGTAGGGAATCAATATTTAAGACAAAAAAAGTACACAAATAAACTGAGCTGGCTAAAGCAAAATTTAGTTACTTAGGTTGTAACAGGATTTTCTTTTTAACTGAAATGAGAGTATAATCAGATAATCTTATTGTCTAACTAGTGGAGATTATGATTCTGAATTAAATGCATGCATTTAAAGGTTATGTTTGATTATTTACTGGCTGGGATTGATATAAAAGTGGTATATTACAATATGCCATGTATGTGGTTAAACCAGTTGTAAATCATTAAATTTTTATTTAGTAATTAGCAGTGTTCTCATAAAAAGAATGAGATACATTCATCATTTATTTTTAAAACAGCTTTGAATAATTAGAATCATATGCAATTTGATCTATTAAGTGACTAATTAAATATAAATACTTAATGTGTACCAGAGAGCTGCTCTTTGATATTGCACAATTGTCCATTGTGTGGTCATTACCTTAACTGTCCCTTCATCCAAAGCATGGGGGAGTAATTCGTAAAATACACTCAGAGAAAAGGGAATATTAAGAAACAATGAGAGCCACAAGAAAGTCCTACGTTGGTCAATAGTGTTACATGACTTCAGGCAAGTATAAATATCTAATTTGTGCTCTAACTCCTGTCCAAGCTTCCACTCTGTGCTTTTGAAGATGTATGTAATTAATAAATAGCCCCAAACAGTCAGGAAAAGGAAAAGGGGAGAAGCTTAGGTGCCTAGATTATTGAAAAATTGAACATTTTAAGTAGAGTAGTTCTAGAAATCTAAGAGTTGGGTTTTCTAACTTCCAATTAGAAAGTCTATTTCATATAAAGATTCTTATCCTTGGCAAGAGATCAAAGTTATAAATTCTTATTATTCTTTTCCAATTTAGCTTCAATGTGCCATCAGATGAAATCTTATCACTTTATTCAGAATCTATCACTATTCTGCTCAAGAATTTAGTACTTTCCACAACATTAAATCCAACCTTATACATTTTCAAGGCCTTCACATACTAGCCTTTGCTACTTTTAGAATAATGGTAAAAGTGAAAACAATAAAAGCTAATATTTTCCCTACGCATTGTGCTAACTGTATTGCATTATCTCTTTTAATTCATGAAAGTAAAAGAAGGGCGGGGGAGGGGGAGATCAAGAAAACAGGCTGTGAGAGGTAACTTAACTGGGCTTGAGTCTTACTGTGCCTGTGTTGCAAAGCCGAGCCAAATCCAAGTTATATGATTCAGAACCATTGTTCTTAACCTTCCACTGTATGCTACAAACTTCACACTATTGCAACACTCTTCAAAACCTCATCTCCACTCTCTTTCCATGAATCAGACCAGACACTTTCATGTACTTAATATTGACCTACTCTTTTCTCAGTGCCTTAGTTTCATGCTGTTTCCTCTCTTCAAGTGTGTCCTTCCTCAGCCAAATACCCCTCCTCTTTCAAGGTGTGTGTCACATGTCTTCTCCCCCACAGCTTTCCACCTCAAATGCATACCTCAGATCTAAAATTTACGTACATTTCCATGTGCCTAGTGTAGATACAAAGGTGATTATCTCTCAATAAATATATTTCCTGAAAGCATTAATAGTAAAGACCATTATAGTAGTCATTATACAATTAAGAGTGTTGTCATACACATTTGATTCCTTGTTACAAAAGATAGGTTTACTGCCAGACATATATCCTGTGCCAGATTTTTCATCATCAACATTTTCCAAAAAATCCATTCCCATTTGGACGTCCTTTAGTCTGTGTCCAATTTTTCTAGTAAGAGCTTCCAAATTTAATTTTAACTTCAAGTGCTGCTGCCCAATATAAGCCATATAGAGCCAGAGCAGGAATTTTCCTTACAGAGAAACAGGATCCATTTAATTGAAGGCAAAGAAGGGAACTATTGTGAGGTTGCACCTATCCGCAGGAATGGCGGCCCCATGCCTCTTCTGGCTTGTCCTCTCTCATGTTCCTGCTCCCTTTACCCTTAGATTCTGGTTCATAGATTTGGGACAAGACCTGGCTTGACCATGATACAAAGGAGAGCTCTTCGTGGGAAGCTGGTGGATTCAGCTAAGTTTATTGCATTTTTGTCTCTCTGATATATTATTGGCAGGGCATGATGACTGCTAAGTTGTCAGGCTGGTGCGGGGAGGAGAGCTGCTCTGGCCCCTCGGCTGGCCTGATTTGGAAGAATGACTACCATTTCTAGCTAGGCAACCTCAGGCATGTAGATATTATTACTTCAAGGATATCAATTTAGATTCATTGCATAATTGCACTTACAGAAAAGGCAGGATGTTATAGTTACTGAAAGGACTCTGGAGCCAGACTGCTTAGGTTCAAGTGTGTCCTTCCTCAGCCAAATACCCCTCCTCTTTCAAGGTGTGTGTCACATGTCTTCTCCCCCACAGCTTCACAAACAGCTTTGATATTTACAAACTGTATGACCTTGAATCACTTATTTGACTTAATATCTCAGTTTTTTCAACTATAAAGCAGAGATTATAATAAGACCTGCCTTATATGCTTTTTTTGTGAGAATTAAAATGATTTAAGATATGTTAAACATGTAGAACAGTGATAGCTCTCAACAGTGTTACCTATTATTGTTTTATATTTGTAAAGTAAGTAAATAAAATTTTTAAATAATACATTTTCTGTGTAATACAATTTTTTTCTTGTCTCCTTTCTCCTCAAGACTGACACTTCTTGAGGGCAGAGAGCAGGTAATACTCATCTTTGTATATCCTCAGTACTTTCCAGGAGGATATTACATTGTATGCCTACAATGACTACTTGCTGAATGAAAGAAAGTTGTGGTAACTAAAGATAAGGAGTAAATGAAGTAGAGTTTAAGAGTTGTAAGACAGCCATAGCCAGTTTGGCTAAGTGGATAGAGCATCAGCCAGTGGACTGAAGGGTACTGGGTTCAATTCAGGTCAAAGGCACATGCCTGGGTTGTGGGCTTGATCCCCAGTAGGGGGGGGTGCAGGAGGCAGCTGATTAATGATTATTTCTCATCACTGATGTTTGTATCTCTCTTTCCCTCTCACTTCCTCCCTGAAATCAATAAAAATAAAAATAAATGAAAAAGAATTGTAAGACAAACTGAACTACCAAGCAAAATAGAGACAGACTCAGAGAGAGCAAGCAAGCTCAGGGGGGCAGGAGTTTTTTTGTTTTTTTGTTTTTTGTGTGTGTGTGTTTGTGTGTGTGTGTGTGTGTGTGTGTGTGTGTGTGTGTGTGTGTGTGTGTGTGTGTGTGTGTAGTGGTGGGGGCATGGAGATTAAGCAAAAAAGAGAAAAGAAAGAGAACTCATAGACAGGTAATTGCAGAGAAGGGGTGGTGGAAGTGAAGAGAGCATAGAGGAGATAGTGATGGAAAAAATAAAATAAAATAATAAAATAAAATAAAATGAATAAAATAGAATAGAATAGTTGTAAGAGTCCAAAATGTTTAAGAGTAATGTAACTATTATATTGGTAGGTTTGTCCTCATCAATGTTGAAATCACGCTCATAGTGATAGCAATATTCAAATAGGAGAGAAGAATTGTGAAACACTTGTCAAATTTCTCAGGAGAGAAAAAAGTATGAACCAAAATCACAAAACAAAACAAAACACATTGGCATGGAGATTACTGTAGACTGCTGGCATAACCACACATAAAGAGCTTTCCATGAAGAGGAAGTTATGTTGTCTGCTGATACTGGGGAAAATAGAGAAATGCCAACACCACACATGTGCTGTATAAAGTATATATTTAAAATGACTACCTACCCCTAATCTCCTCTTAAATGTCCTAAAGTAATTTTTAAAACAGAGTTCTTGATTTTTTTCATTTTCTCCCATCAAAATATGTGCAAGTCAACAACAACAATGTTAGGGGCTGAATTTTGTCTCCTAAAAGTTTGTATGTTGATGTCCTAATCCTCAGGATTTCAGAATCTAACTGTATTTGGAAGGAAATATTTAAGTTAAATTATAATTAGGGTTAGCTCTAATCCTATATGACATTTCCTTATAAAAATAAGAAACTTGGATATAGAAAGATATAGTGGGAAGACTATGTGAAGATACAGGGTGGTAGTGGAGAATAATGAAAATGGAAAGAATAGAGAGATTCTATTTTGATGTTCTAATCATATTTAGACTAAAACCCAGATGTTCAAAACCTGATGTGATTAATCTATGTCCATGGTCAGCAGTCCACTCAAGTTCCAAAAAATGTTCTCAGAAAAAGTGCTCCTTGTAGCCCCAAGAGTTCTCAGCATAAATACTTGAAGAATTGACCAGTATTGAGGATGCTTCTCTCTGATGGAATCAACAGCAGCCTCTGCTGGTTTGGAGATCTCAGGCTTCCATGGTGAAACTGGGTTGTGATGAGGAGCAATTGGCCTCGAAAACACCCCTGTTGCTCAGGTGGTTTGAGGGAGAGTTCTGTAATACCAAGGCTCACCTTCCTTAAAATGATTGGCAGAGGAACATTCTGAAGAAGGACCAACCAAGGCACTATATAAAACAGAAAGCTCAAAGAGACACAAGGCAGTGATATACATATGTTATATTCTGATGCCTTCCATACCTTCCAGACTGTTCTTGAGCTGCATGTTGAACTGAGTTACACTGGATGGCAAAAGGAAATAATGGCATATAAATGAGATAGTCACAGAGACTTATGGTCACCTCAAGGTGAGATCAGGAAAACCTTCAGGAGCCTGATAGAAGCCAGTGATCATTCACCTGCTGTGTAGAGCTACCCATGCCCAGTCACTGGTTATAGCAACAACACCAACCAACCAACAGGGAAGGGGGTGTTATGCCAATAACCAGTTAAGATAAGATGTGACTGCCTTCCCCTGCTCATCCTATATAATAAAGATAGAATATGCAAAATAACCCTTATGCCCTCACAAGATGGCTGCCTATGACCAGGCTGGCAGGGGGGTTAGTGAGTGACCACCAAACGACTAAACAGCAGGCTGCGTGGGGTTACCATGCCGGCAAAAAAGGCCATGAGGGGCAACCAGGCCAGCGGTTGGGGGGGGGGTTGTGCATTTGGTAGCAACCAGGCCAGCAGGGGGGGCAGTTGGGGGCAATTAGGCTGGCAGGGGGGCAGTTAAGGGCAACCAGGCTGGCAGAGGGGGCCAGTTTGGGGTGACCAGGCAGGCAGGCAGGTGAGCGATTACGAGCCAGCAGTCCAGGATTGTGAGAGAAATGTCCGACTGCCGGTTTAGGCCAGATTCCTGAGATTGGGCCTAAACAGGCAGTCGGACATCCCCCAAAGGGTCTCAGATTGGAGAGGGTGCAGGCTGGGCTGAGGGACCCCCGCCCCTGCACAAATTTCATGCACCGGGCCTCTAGTTTCTTAATACTGATTTTCCTCAAGTTCAATTTATGCATAAAAATGTTTTTGATTAATGAAAATAGAAAGGAAAAAAATGATGATGGATACACCTGTGAACACAATTGACCTTTTACTCAATTTTTCTATCCAAAGTCTAATGTTAACATTTTTGTTTAAGATACCTTTTTAACTGCAAACTTCGATTTCTTAGGTTGAAATTTATAGCATAATTATTTCTTTATTTTTAATGACTTTCAATAGCTCCCCCCCCACAAAAATCCCTTCTATTTGTTATATAGAATGGAAATACAGACGGATAAATTAAAACCAGTTTTTCCCCCCAAGAGAAATAACATGAATGTTCTAATTTGAAGAGAAGATCAAAGTATATATGGAAATAATTGGCAAATACAAAGTCTACTCTAAGATGTGATTTTAACATGAAGCCTGTTAGGCAGCATCACAGAGAGAAATGCCGTCATCTATGATATCAGAAGATACTCACTCTAATCCCAGATGAGTTGACTATTTTCTACATAAATTTTGGCCTGCATTATATCTTCTCTAGGCCTCAGATACTTAAAATAATAAGTTTGGACTAGGAAATACTTAGCATCCTTTCTCCATTTTAATCATCTATGACAACTTAGAGTAGATTGTCATTAACTGAAGGAAAGATAGAATAGCAAAGACTCTGAACTGAGAGTTGACTAGAATGTCAGAGGGCAACAAGGACATATGTGAATGAATTGGAGAGGAAGGGTAAAAAGGAAATGTTAGTATTACCCAGTTGGGAAGTCCAAGGATAAATGTCCAAGTAAGTACTTTGATTTTTACTCTGAGGCAGATGAAAAAAAAATTGGAGGATTTTTAGAAAAAGAGAAATTATTTCAGTCTAATTTTAAAGAGTGATGCTGGCTATGTTGAGAAAGACTGAAGACAAAGGATGAATAAGGGAGACAAGAAAGATTTGCAATAGCTCAGGAAGGAAAGGGATTTGGACTAATGTGTGGTCCCAGAAATTGGAGTGAACAATTTAGTGCCAGAATTTAGTGTACAATTTGAAGGTAAACCCAATAGTTGGTAGTGTTTTAGATGGGGGTAACGTTGAGGGGTATGGAACAAGGATGCCACCCAATGTTTAAGCCTATGAAACTGGAAAGACAGCGTTTTCTTGAGGTGCGATGGTGAGACTATTACAGCAAGTTTGGGATGGTTTAAGGCTCAGAAATTCAATTTTAGACATATTAAGTTTTAGGTGATTGTATGTCATTCAAGTGGGGATATTAAATGAGTAGATGGACATGAGTTTGGAGTCAGGGAAGAGATCCAGTAAGGACATATAAGCTTAGTGTTGCTATTTAAAGATAGAGAGTGGTTGCAATCACTGAGAAAGTGATTGTAATGAGAATAGAATTAAGAGCATATCTTTAGCTGACTATGAAGCTTATGTGACTTAAGGAGTAGCAAAACTATCAGAGGAAAATAAGAGTAAGAAACCAGAGATATAATAGCAAAACTAGATGAATATGGTGGCTTGCAAGCTTAGACTAAAAAGTGAGTAAAAAAAAATATTCTATCATTATATAGGGTCATATGCCCATGGTCAAATATATGGATGTATATGTGTGCAGGGATATATGTTTATGCAGAGACATTTTCATTTAATAAAATGAGATTATGCTATACCTAATCTTCTAAAATCTTATTTTAAAAATTAATTGATCATGGAAGAAATTTTTATATCATCTTTACTCATAAGATGTTTTATTTTTAAATTTTGTACTTTCCAGCATTATTAAAACAAAGTATCATGATGAACTTTTTGTTTTAAAAAAAGCACAGTACAGTGAAATGTTGACTGTGAATATTTAAAGTAACACTTGCTCTCTTCTATTTAGTTTAATTTGCAAAATTAAGAAACCAAAGAAAAACCAAACCGAGGAATAAAGGAGTAGAAACTGAAATAGGAATTTTTAGGGGTGAAAATAGGCAGGCTTATGGAATTTTTTAAATTAAGGGGTCCATGGAAAAAACACAAGGCTACAGAGTTGCAAAAGGGTACATTTCCATAAGACAAGGAAATTAGGGGAGGCAGAAGTTACATTTCCATAACTTAAGGGAACTGGGAGTAGCCAAAGGTCTATATTTACAAAATAAAAAAGAGGCCTCACATGTCCCATGTGAGGTTTGACCTTTGAACTCAGGAGTTGCTATAGTGACCAAATCAAAGGGAATAGTGGCCAATCAGAGGGAATATGGAGGCGCAAACACTGCAGCCTTTATAAACTAGGGAAAAAGGAACTCAGTGGGATTCTTTCCCCCTCCCCACCTGGGAGTCTGTGCTTGTTCTTTAATAAATTTCCACCTTTTCTGTACCATCTTAGGTCCATGGTTTCATTCTTTGACTCCTATGGACAAAGAATCCAGAGAAGCCATCCTGCCCAGGCAAACACCGTGTGTTCCAGTCCAAAAATCCCATATCAAAACAAAACAAAAAAAACATCAAATTCTTTTTGTTTCTAACTATCGCAATTCATATATTTCAATGGATCTGATTCTTTTTTATTAGAAGGAGCTAGCTTTGAATAGAATAGAAATTTTATGAAATAAAATTAAGAAACAGCTGACATTTTCTGCTTCTTCTTACCAAAGATAAAGTACTGTGTTCCTAAGATTCTAACATCTGTCTGTTTCATAAAGGCAAAGTCACCTGTGTGGGAGCTCCTAGATTTTCATTAGATAGGAGAGATAGAAAATAAATTAACAGCAGTTACAATGTGTTACAATTAGCACTTTAAGGCAGCAACAATATGGTGCATTATTTCACTCCATCTGGAAAACATTGAATGAGTTGAAGGCGTTCTGTAGAAGATATGAGTCGAGTGTCCCTGAAAGACTCTTCTCAATGCTCCCAGATTTCTCCCAAATGAGGGCACTTTTAAAAAGTAAATTAGCTATATCACAGGATATTTCATCTACTAAACCATAAGCGAAAATCAAATAAGTAATTATTGAACATTGGCTGCATACCAGAAACTGTGGTGGGCAGTTTATACTTTCTATAATGTTTCAGATCATTCACTGGTGTTCAGAGTGGAATTTATAGAAATAGTCAATAAAAGGAATTTTGTCGAAAAGAATAACAAAATTGTTATAGTGTATACTTTAAGGACTTTGTTAATTGGAAATAAGTACACTGGCAAACACAATTTGTCAATCAATAGTTCTTATGATCTAAGGGTTATAACATATTAGACACGCCATTTTAGAATTTATGAGTATTTACAATAAATATAAAAACAACCTTCAGAATGCTTGTATGAAACTTTTCCTTTTACTGAATAAAAGTAACAGAGGTGGGCAAAAGTAGTCCCTTTGCCTTCCTCAACTACTCTATTAAATGCCATTGCATTTTTTCAACCATATTGTTAATTTTGAAAAATCAACTGGATTGAAGTTGATTTCATGTGCAACAGTGCTTCCTGGTGAAACAGGAATTTTAGGGGACATAGGCAGGTTTAGGGAATTTTTAGAATTGGGGGTCCATGGAAAAAACACAGGGCTACAAACTGGGAGAATGTGCCTTTCCATAACACAAGGGAGACAGGTGCAAGGGAGGAGGGGAGAACGCTAAAGGATTGGGTGAGTGTGGGTCTCAGATCGAGACACACACAGAGAGAGAGGGAGAGAGAGAGAGAGAGATTCTTTGTTCACTTGGTATTTTAACTAGGAACTTTTTCAAAACACTCAATCAGCTTTCCAAGCTTTTGCAGGCTTCTGATGGGTCCACACCCTAACCAATGATTCCTTTCTCAGGGTAGACTGACAGGCCTCTATGGTCAAGCTCCTGACCCTTCACCAGGTTGACTTCTAATGTGTATGTGCTTATTGTCCCTTTTGTTCTACCCCTTCCCCCAGTGAACTGTGGGAATGGACTGGGGGTTCTCTGGGGAGCAGTGCAGAGCTGTAACTTCCGGGTGAATCAAGCATGCCTCTGCTTCCCAGCTGACCATGCTGACCATGTCTGACTCCCTTTTGCTTGCTTCTCATTAATATTTAGCCAACTATGGTAACAAGTCCAGGCATGTAGTTTTGGCTCTACTACTAATTAATCTTGTCTTTCAGGTTCCTATGCTCTCTGTTCCCCTCTTTGCAAAATGAAAGCAAACCAAGGCTATGTGCTCACAGGAGAACAAGGCAATGGGATGCTGGGATGCAACTTCTAGATCAGAAACCCATTCATTTGGAGGATCCCTTTGTGGGTAAGTACAGGATGTTTCCTTTGGTAGGCTTGAAATTAAGAGAGGAAATTACCAGGATATGTGAGCTTTGTTTCTATTTTTAAGAATTGTAATTCTTAAAATCCTTTGTAGATTTTTTTTCTTTTTCTTTCTTTTCCTACAGAGATGATTTCTCTTTAAATTTGTTCTGTCTCTTCTGAGGATTTATATTTGTTTGCTGATTATATTTTGCCAATATTTAGGGTAAAACTTATTTTAGTTTTCATTCTTTTTCTTTTCCTTTATATTTTTGTCTTTTCCTTACACTGTCTCTGAATCGATTTTCTGCAGCATCAATTATGCTCTTTAACAACAATTACATATTTTACTTTCTTATATTATTTTTGGAAATGAGTGGAATTTTTAAAGTAAGTTTTATGTGTATATCTCGTACATTACAACAAACATTAGTTGAATGACTGACTTTCAACCCTGTCACATCTTGTTGACTCATGTTTCTTTTTTATAGATGTCAATTTTATTTGTATCTTGCTGAGAACATGAAATTGATGTTTGAATTGATGTTATAAATGTCCTCTTTCTTTCTGAAAACAATTTCCAAAATTATGCTCTTGCTTTCGTGCTTCGTGATAGTTCTTGCCTTTTCTAATGCTTCATTTTATTTGTTTGCTTGTTTACTTTGTTGAATATTCATGTATCATAGGCTGGGGCGTGATGAGTCTGGGCTTTGCCTTAGGTGGATATCAGACTGTCCTAACCTTCACTGTGTGCTTATTCTCCTCTATGGTACTATAAAAGTCCCCACAGGGATCTAGACCAGGAGGTCAGGTTGATGCACAAGGATCCTAACTCACTCTGTGATAGCCCGTAGAGATGAATTGAATGTTGGGCTGGTGGACTGAGGCTCACTTTCTTGCAAGTTCTCTGATTTGGGAGTGTCCATCTTCTTTTCTCAGCCTCTGGAGAATCAATGTTGTGGATGGACCAGCCCTTGTGGCTCTTATTATGATTGCAAGATGCCCTTAGCAATAGCAATCAGGACACTTTGAAAGAGACAAAGTTTATTACATATAAAACCTGGAAATTACATGGCACATATATGGTCATACGGAAAGGCCACAGGGAGAGAAAGAGAAAGAATGAGATAGTCCTGAGATTCTATTTTTGTTGAGGTCAAGGACGGGTTATTGTTGCAGGCTCATTCTTTTTTATGGCCTGGTTCTATTTTCATTGAGGTCAAAGGAGTCTAGGATTTTGCAGGCTCATTCTCTCTATTTATTTTTTAATATGTCCGTATTGATTTTTAGAGATAGAGGAAGGGAGAGGGATAGAGAGATAGAAACATCAAATCAGCTGCCTCTTGCATGCCCCCCTATCAGGGATCAAGCCCAAAACCTGGGCATGTACCCAACCAGGAATTGAACTGGTGACCTCATGGTTCATAGTTCCTGGGTGGACGCTCAACCTCTGAGCCACACTGGCTGGGCTGCAGGCTCATTCTTTATTGGTGGATTTAAAACATAAGACTGGGAATTTAAGATGAAGAAGAGAGCCCTAGCCCATTTGGCTCAGTATATAGAGCATTGGCCTGCAGACTGAAGGGTCCCAGGTTCCATTCTGGTTAAGGGCACATGCCCAGATTGTGGGCATCATCCCCAGTGGGGGGTGTGCAGGAGGCGGCCAATCAATGATTCTCTCTGATCATTGATGTTTCTATCTCTCTCTCCCTCTCCCTTCCTCTCTGAAATCAATAAAAATATATTTAAAAAAAAATAATAAAATGAAGAGAGGAAAAAAAACAATTGGCCCAAATGGTCACTTATCAAAACCTCTAAAACAAAGCAGTGAGGAGTCCTGGCCCTCTTTATCTACTTGTGTGGCTGGCAATGCGGCCTCCTGAAGTTGGTGCCCAAGCCATCAAGCCGGCACTTGATTACAAAAAAGAAAACCCAGCTGTCAGGGTTTATACTTTATTTTTACACTAAGAATAATGACATGAAACACTACACCTCAAAGCATGCAGTGCTTCTGGTGCTCTTCTTATCTTTCTTTTCTGACACGTTTTCCCTTTGGCCACTTAGCATCACACGTTACAATAAGCTTCTGTGTCACATCCTAGTTCCTGCCATGTCAACTACTGGGTGTTGTATCATTGAAAGGATCCATACAGAAAAAACACTAATAAGAGTGGAGTGGGGCCCTAACCGGTTTGGCTCAGTGGATAGAGCGTCGGCCTGTGGACTGAAGGGTCCCAGGTTCAATTCCGGTCAAGGGCATGTACCTTGGTTGCGGGCACATCCCCAGT